CCCTTTACTAACATTTGATAAATTGTAGCATATACGATAGTCAAAATCTGTTCAGATATACACTGGTGGCCAAAACTAAAGCAACTAAAATCGCAAAGACAATAAATGTCCTGTAACTTTTACAAAAATAATCAAAACGTAATTATTTTCTCAGTTTTATATGAGGTCTTTAATTCACTTTTGAGAAACTAAAAATAAAAATACAAAAATAATTTTGAACGAAAAATAATTTATGGAAAACTAATATGACCTAATTTTTGCTTGGCCAAAACGAAAGCAACTTTTTCTTTCTCACCGTAAATTTTTTCACGTCTGAGCTTTTAATATAAAACGTAGACTCATCCCAGAAATAATGTTTTTCCATTGAGCTGGATTCCACTTAATAGTATCGTTTCCGAAAGCCTTTCTGATTTTTTCAGATATAAATGGCTTTTTTGATGGCTTACGGGCATGCAGACCAACTACCATTACTAGTCTACGCACTGATCTCGAGCTTATATCCAATGATTGCACTCTCACCAATCCAGTTGAAATCTTAAATGATTGTTTTTTATTTCTCTCACAATTTGTTGATCAGTACGGGCTGAAGTTTTCCACGGCCTTCATCCGTTATAGACTGTTACTACTGATCCAGTTTCATAAAATATATTTCGGTATACTAATATTTATGAAATATTTCTCGGAAATCATTTTCTGTGATATATTGTTTTCATAGTCACTGATAATTTGCTGTTTTATTCATGTACTGTATTTGCTTCTATCCATTTTAAACTTTTTTGGGCAGTACTTAAAAACGAAAAGAAAAACACATGCTGTTGTAAAAAACTTCTCAAAAAGGATTTATGACAAGCGAAATTGTCGAAGGAAGCAAAAAGCGATAAATATAACAGTAAAAACAATTGAAATTGCAGCGGTCATATAAATGTACAACAGAGTTGCTTTTTTTTGTCCAAGCCAAAATCGGGTTAATTGACTTTACCATAGATTATTTTTTATATAAAAATGAATTTTGGTTTTTTGTTTTAGGTTTTTAAAAAGTGAATACAGTACCTAATTTCAAACAAGAAAAACTTTTTCATTTTCTTAAGCTTTAAAAAGTTACAGGGCATTCATTCTCCTTGTAATTTCAGTTGCTTTAGTTTTGGCCACCAGTGTAGGTCCTTCACATCTACAATGTTCCCTCCATGCCATTGATATTTCGTACAAGATATCAGATGCTAGATATACCCTTGACAATGTTTGTAATAGCTCCCATATATATTTTCATTCGATTTCAAGCATTCCCCAAATGTGTAATATTAGTCCAAATGGATTAACTTCTGAACGTCGTAACATGCCCTTCATAGCAATGATATTTGATTCGAGAGGTCATGTAGAACATAAATTTACCTCAGTCATTTAGAGAATATCGATTAAGATATAGCTTTCATAGGTTAGTATCAAGGGATTTCAAATTTAAACCTCTCTAAAGTCTTAATATGCAGTTAATACTTAAATTGTCAAAATGAACGTAAGTTTGCTATAGGTGACTAAATATTCATAGAGGCGCTGGGTATCATAAAGTCGGCACCGTCCTACTATTGTCTTTACTTACTGGTTTCTCATCATTTTGTTTCTAGCTTATATGGGTTTCTTGAAAGTTAATAACTTGATCCTTATTTCGTTTTGCTCATCTATTCGCGATATAGGAAAACACATTTGAAAAAGAGTTGAAAACTGAACACACATAGCCAGATCGAATCGGCAATTTAGTTTGATCTACAAGATTTTCTGACGTTTTATAAACTTGTATCAAAAAACAAGTAAAAACAACCCTATCCCCACGTGGCGGTGGGGATCGAAAAAAACGACTGATGGGATTGTCATTTTTTATTTTACACGGTTTTTTGTTTGGAAATTATTTAAATAAGAACGTGAAGAAATCATTAAGGTTAATCAAACAAAAACTAACAATATAAAATGAACACAACTTACAGTATTACAGTATTGTAACTACACTATGGCAATCTAAGTTGTAATGTACATTTTTAGCGCATGAACACGTCTCTCAACAAATTGTAAATATGTGAAGAGTCATTGACATTTGAATTATGCTGTGTGGGTGTATTTATAGAACATACGCTTTTAACAACAATATTCATTTCGAGTGATCTAAGCACCACACAAACTAATCGTCCTTGACTTTGGACTTGAGAATACTATTTGTTTATTATTGTTTTTTTTTTTGCGTAATACAAAAAAAAAATGAGAACGATTACAGTTTAATATTTCAATTTTAATTTAAACATGTTACAATATTTCGAATGTTTCAGAAATATACCGTTTAAATATACATTTTTTGGTTCCGCTGAACATTATGACTAAATTTAAAAAGGATTGGGATATACCGTTATAATAGACCATAACAAAGCCGTAGACAATTTGCAGGCAAAAATTATGGATCGTAGTCCCCATTATCAAATTTAAAATAATTCCGTTGAAAAATGTGGCTTAAAGCCTAAAAGTATCGAATGTAGGGAAATAACGTTATATGAGTAGTATGAGACAAAGTGAAAATTCAAGGATAATGTTGTGTTAGACAAGGTGATACCACTTGCCAATTTCCAAATCCCTTCAAAATATGGCTAAACTCGTAAAAAAAACAAATATTTGAAAGTTCTCTTATATGGAGTTGTTACCACAACTTGGACTTAACCTGATTTTCTTTGCAAGGTTGTTTTCTGCCAACATTGCCAACATGAACTCGTCTCTCAACAAATTGTAAATATGTGAAGATTCATTGACATTAGAATTATGCTGTGTGGGTGTATTTATAGAACATACGCTTCTAACAACAATATTCATTTCGAGTGATCTAAGCACCACACAAACTAATCGTCCTTGACTTTGAACTTGAGAATACTATTTGTTTATTATTGTTTTTTTTTTGCGTAATACAAAAAAATAAAAATGAGAACGATTACAGTTTAATATTTCAATTTTAATTTAAACATGTTACAATATTTCGAATGTTTCAGAAATATACCGTTTAAATATACATTTTTTGGTTCCGCTGAACATTATGACTAAATTTAAAAAAGCATTGGGATATACCGTTATAATAGAGCGTAACAAAGCCGTAGACAATTTGCAGGCAGAAATTATGGATCGTAGTCCCCATTATCAAATTTAAAATAATTCCGTTGAAAAATGTGGGTTAAAGCCTAAAAGTATCGAATATAGGGAAATAACGTTATATTAGTAGTATGAGACAAAGTGAAAATTCAAGGATAATGTTGTGTTAGACAAGGTGATACCACTTGCCAATTTCCAAATCCCTTCAAAATATGGCTAAACTCGTAAAAAACCAAATATTTGAAAGTTCTCTTATATGGAGTTGTTACCACAACTTGGACTTAATCTGATTTTCTTTGCAAGGTTGTTTTCTGCCAACATCGTATATATACAAGGTTAGATAAGATAGTTGTGAGAAAAAAGGTCAGCATGTAGGGATTGTACTCTCAGAATTACTGTAAATACAAGTGCAACAAGTAGTTTTATTTATTTATTTATTTTTTTTTAGTAAATAAAAAAGAGCATAGAGTAAATAACAAGTAAAAAGCAGTAAGTTCGGCCGGGAACTTTGAATACCCTCCACCATTTGGAACAAATTAGAAAATTTTCAAAAAAAAAAATAAAATAAAATCCATTAAGTTCTGTTAAAATCTTTAAAATACCGAAAGTATACCGTAAGGTGCCGATATATGGGGGATTTACGATATTGTGGATCTATATAGACAAATCTATGTCTGGGGGTAAAGTACTCACAAAGAACTTCTTGTGTAGAATTTCAGACAATTCCGTTGAAAATTTTGGCTAAAATCATCAAAATACCGAATATCGGTGGATACCGTTTAATGGGCGCTGTATGATATCGTGGACCTCTATAGATAATTATCATCCATGGGATAAAGTGCTCATAAAGAATTCCTTGTGTACAATTTCAGACAATTCCATTGAAAAAAGTGGCTTAAATCATCAAAATACCGAATATGGAGGCTATACGATATCGTGGACCGATATAACCCATCTTCGAACTTGACCTGCCTGCAGACAAAAGACAGATATGTGCAAAATTTTTTACTATTTTTTGGCCGCAGCTGCACACATGTCTTGAAATATTGTGGGAAATAGCTAGATAAGCACGCGTTCATGTTGATTTTATGTATATATGAATGTTTATAATACTATATAATAAAATATATATTTTCGGATATTTGTATATATATTTGTGAAAATGTCGCGGAAAGTGTGATCGTTATAAAAATTAGTTTTTTTTTCATTTAAATCCACGTCTGTTTCATTTTTGCAAAAGTAAACATTTTCAATGTTAGGGTGTATCGCATTTTACATTTTTACGCAAAATATATTGTATTAGTAAGCCATGTATCGCTTTGATACATATTGATTTTTTCCCACAGATAAAATATTAGATCTATATACTCGCGTTATGGTCTTGAATCCTCTACATTTGTAACCTACATTGATAGACATAAAAGGACAGAACTTGAATATCTCACAATAAAACACATTTCCCAACACAGAACCGAGAAATTCAACAATTAAAATATTAAAAGTGAAGAACACTATTTAAAAAATTTAAATTGCACAAGACATCACATGGTACTAGAGGTGTGTTTGGGTTTAAAACAGGTTTTTAATAAAAATCTTACTAATAGGATTTATTAGGATTTGAAAGCATTCTTTGCAAATAATCCTATAGTAAACAATGACATATCCACTTAATTTGCTAAGAGAGAAAAAATATAATTGATAAAACAAAATATAAATTCGACACACACTATTTATTATCTTATAAGCATACATATATTTGTATGTACCTACACAATAGCATTTTATTGCCTATACGTATAGAAACTCTGTCACAAAACATCAGTTTTGCGTGACAATATTTTAGAGAGAAAATTTCCCACAATGAATTGTTATTTCATTGGTAATAAATTGCGGAATGAATTCAATGGGGATCGCCTTTTGAGCGACAGCAACTTACGACATACATATTTAGTTTCTCTTTTACTCTCCAGTTATATTGTTGGCTGTTCTAAGAATAATAATCTTTATACAGAAAACAGCAAATATTCCGTTCAGTCTGTTAGAAGCTTTCCGGTTGGTAGTTACTAAAAGTTGAGTCGCAATTTACATATAAGTTGAGTGTGAAGACGATATTCCCATGGTGTGTTAACTTTTTATTATTGCAGACACTTGGAACACGTCCTACAAAAACATGTCATCCGGAGGAGAGAAAAAACAATTGGTTGCGGTCTCAGAATCTAGACGTTTCATGATTGACTGTTTTAAGGCAGTAAATGTTCCTCAGGATCATGCGGAGCAAATGGCAGACTTACTTGTTGCTGCAGATTATCGTGGCCATTTCAGCCACGGTATGAATCGCTTAGAAATGTATTTAAATGATTTGGCTATTAATTCGACGGATGGTAGTGCTGTACCCAAGATTTTGAAAGAGACTCCCTCTACGGCTTGGGTTGATGGTTGCAACGGCTTGGGCGCCGTGGTCGGAAACTTTTGCATGGATTTGGCTATTAAGAAGGCGAAACAGGTAGGCGTTGGTTGGGTTTGTGCCAAAGGATCCAATCACTACGGTATCGCTGGTTGGTATCCCATGAGAGCCATGAAAGAGGGATTAGTTGGTATGTCCATGACAAATACATCACCTTTGATGGCTCCAACACGATCGAAAGAAGCCGCCCTGGGCACCAATCCACTGTCTTTAGGCGTTCCTGCCAAGGATGATAAATTTCTATTGGATATGGCAACAACAGCGGTTGCTGTTGGCAAAATTGAGATACAACGCCGTAAAGGTGCTCCTTTGCCCGATGGTTGGGCCCAAGATCCTGAGGGTAGGGTGACTAATGACGCTGAATTGGCTTTCCAAACTGGCTGTTTGATGCCATTAGGAGGTCCAGAAATTAATTCTGGCTATAAGGGCTACGGTATGACTACAGATTTATGTTGATTGCTTTTGTGCTCGAATAAATACTTTTTCCATTTAAAGGTCTTGGTGGACTAGTGGATATCTTATCAGGCGTAATGGCTGGTGCTAATTATTCTACAAAAGTGCGAAAATGGACTCATACCGGCGCGAATACAGCTGCAGATCTTGGACAGGTTTTCATTGCTGTCGATCCTAATTGCTTTGCCCCCGATTTTGAAGAAAGAATGTGCGATTTCAATTCCCGCTTACGTAGTTGCACACCTGTAAGTAAATACATAATTCAATATCTTGATAAAGTATTAACCTTTGTCTACTATCTGGCTCTCTTTCTTTTGTAGACTGACCCCGAAAAGCCCGTTCTTGTCGCTGGCGATAAGGAAACAATAAATATGAAGGCAGTGGATGAGGCCGGTGGTATTGAATACTTACCGAATCAACTGAAAACTTGTGAATCGTTATCGCAACGTTTCAACGTTAATCCTATTCGCTTTATTTGAAGTGCAAACTTTTCGTCGTTTTAATGAAATTGGCCTTTAACTTGCATTTCGTATGATTTAACACTTCGGATATTTTCAAATATATTTTATTTGTATACAGTTTATTTTAACTTTTTAATGAATGCATTTTGTTTAAATATAAACACTCTTTATGAGTTAGATGATAGCTTTAATAAATCTACGAACTGATATTAACATCACTTTATTCATTCTAGTTTTAGCTACATTTTAATATTTTGTTTAATAAAAACTCATATCAATAAAAAAGAAACTGTAAGAAAAGAAAACAAGTTGAATACCCTCAACCATTTGGAACGAATTTGGAAATTTTCAACAAAATAACATTCGTCAAAAATACTGTTAAAATCTTAAAAATACTGAATATAGTCATTATATTGAGGTATATACGAAAACGTGAACCTGCATAGACAACTTTTGTCATAAGCCATTTTGTCATATGTCACATGAAAACTTGAAAAAAAAATACGTAAATAATGCAGTTAAAATCATCAAAATAAAGAATATAGGAATGTACTGATATATGGGGCTTGTACGAAGGCCTGGACCTGCATAGACAATTTTCTGTCATAGCCTATAGTACCCATTACGAATTCTAGGTATGCAATTTGAAACAACTCCGGTGAATAATGTTCCTAAATTCGCCAAATATCGATTATCGGGGGGTACCGTTGTACGACTGCCTGCAGACAAAGGACTGATCTGTGTAAAATTTTAGCTTCCTATCTTTATTCGTTTTGACTCTAGCTTGATTACAACATGCGGGCTAAATCGTCTTAGAATTTTACGCTGATCAAGAATATATATACTTTATATATATATATATATATATATATATATATATATATATATATATATATATATATATATATATATATATATATATATATATATATATATATATATATATATATATATATATATATATATATACTAGCTGACCCGGTCCGCGTTGCCGGCAGATCTGACTTATGTAGGCGGCACAATTTTGATTATAAGTAATGACGCCATTATAATTACTCCAATTTTGATTATAAGTAATGACTTGATTATGAGTAATGACTCCATGACTAAATATAAATTAATATTCATGGCAAAAATTATAATTACCGTCGGTTTTAGATATCTTGAATACCCTGATCTTATTTTTCAGCTATAGGCTTTAATTTGAGTGTTAAATACCTATATGATAAAGAACATCTATAATAGCCCCATGTGAAAATTCAGCTCAATTTTTGATATTGTAAAAAGCATTCAAATGAGCTATAATTTGAAATTTGCATTTCCAACGTTTAAAATCCCGTACTGCGTGGTATTCAGTTTTGTCCACCTCATACTTGAAGGCAGAATGTTGTCAGAATAGCCAAAAAATTACTCTTTTGCTCCGATTACCGTAAGATGGACATTAATTGTTTGTCATTTAAAGTTAGCGGTGGAGATCCAATAAAGTTGCTTTATAATTTCGTATTTTTTTCATGTTTCTGCCACAATTTCCGACTGAATGAGTCCCAGATTGACATTTCGGAGTTTATTTCATACCAAAACGTGATAATTTTTTGCAAAGATGGTTTCTTCTTAAATTATCAACATAAGCTAAAATTAGTACGAAAAAAATGGTTAAAATGTAGAATATACTTGAAATCGGGTTGTTCCGTTATCAGGGGTTATGATCCATATCATGACCTGGCAAAGCGATTAAAGGTATCTTGAATGTTTAGGTAGAATTTCTATTTTGCGTTCTTTATAGTCGGTATTTGACTGATTGCAGTCCCAATGTATTTTGCATTTTGTGTTCTCATTTGACAATTTATTGAAAAAAGCAGGTCCACTTTTTGAAATTAGCCCCATAACGCTTCTTTGGTCATTTTTGTTTGTTTAAGTGTGTTCGCATCTTCCAGCTGAAGCACGATGTAGGTCCTGGAGCAGAAAGCATTTAACATCGTATTGCGCCCTCAATTCATTTTTAATATTATTCATTCAGAATTCAAACCAATAAAAAATGTACACTTCAATATAGAAAAAAGAAAAAGAGTCTTCAACTGGTTCGCTGATTTTTTTTGCGGCAAATTTTTAAAGGTCCTTACGAAGTTTGTCGGTAGAATGTACTATTATTTTGAAATTCGATTCCATTGAAAATCGATTTTGCCCGATCTTAGAATTTTCATATAAAGCGACAACGGATAAAATTGTTCCAGATTTTATGTATTTATTGGGTATTACGAATAAATACATAAAATCTATAAATAACAGTTTTATCCGTTGTGGCTTTATACTACCCAAAAAAACCTACACATCATATTAGAATTAAAAAAAAAACACTACAAATGTACATTCGAAAATAGTAAGTCAAAATGGAAAAAATATGCAATATAAAACATTACTATTGTACATTTTAAAAGTCGAAATGAAAATGTTCAAATTTCACATTTTTACGCGATTTTTTTGGATTTTATTCTTTTCTGCCAAGAGGCAATTCCGAATTTGTCTTAATCGTTAAAATCAGACAGGCGGTCTTTATGTTATAAGAGTAGTAACTAACACAACTTTCTTTTACATATAGAGAGATAGATTTAAAAGTAGGCGCGTTCCTCAGCCCCTAAATAAGTACTTATGGTTGGATGGAAAGCCAACAGCATCTCGTGTAATAATTCTCAAACCGATATCTTCACTATTTTGGCAAATATAAAGATTTTAGATAAATCGTAATAGTGGGCGTAAAAGGAGGCTTGGTCAATATTTTTTTCTTTAAAAACCAAACTCGGGGTATGACGAACGTTTGTACAAAAAATTATGCAAATCGGTCCAACCGTTTCCAACTGATTCCGTTACCAACAAACAACAATTGATTTTTATATATATATATATATATAAATATATATATATATATATATATATATATATATATATATATATATATATATATAAAAATATTGACCAAGCCTTGACCAAGAACATATCGGTTTGAGAATTATTACACGAGATGCTGTTGGCTTTCCATCCAACCATAAGTACTTATTTAGGGGCTGAGGAACGCGCCTACTTTTAAATCTATCTCTCTTTATGTAAAAGAGAGTTGTGTTAGTTACTACTCTTATAACCGGGCCGCCGGTCTGATTTTAACGATTTAGACAAATTCGGAATTGCCTCTTGGCAGAAAAGAATAAAATCCAAAAAAATCGCGTAAAAATGTGAAATTTGAACATTTTTCATTTTGACTTTTAAAATGTACAATAGTAATGTTTTATATTGCATATTTTTTTCCATTTTGACTTACTATTTTCGAATGTACATTTGTAGTGTTTTTTTTTGGAAATCTAATATGATGTGTAGGTTTTTTTTTGGGTAGTATAAAGCCACAACGGATAAAACTGTTATTTATAGATTTTATGTATTTATTCGTAATACCCAATAAATACATAAAATCTGGAACAATTTTATCCGTTGTCGCTTTATATGAAAATTCTAAGATCGGGCAAAATCGATTTTCAATGGAATCGAATTTCAAAATAATAGTACATTCTACCGACAAACTTCGTAAGGACCTTTAAAAATTTGCCGCAAAAAAAATCAGCGAACCAGTTGAAGACTCTTTTTCTTTTTTCTATATTGAAGTGTACATTTTTTATTGGTTTGAATTCTGAATGAATAATATTAAAAATGAATTGAGGGCGCAATACGATGTTAAATGCTTTCTGCTCCAGGACCTACATCGTGCTTCAGCTGGAAGATGCGAACACACTTAAACAAACAAAAATGACCAAAGAAGCGTTATGGGGCTAATTTCAAAAAGTGGACCTGCTTTTTTCAATAAATTGTCAAATGAGAACACAAAATGCAAAATACATTGGGACTGCAATCAGTCAAATACCGACTATAAAGAACGCAAAATAGAAATTCTACCTAAACATTCAAGATACCTTTAATCGCTTTGCCAGGTCATGATATGGATCATAACCCCTGATAACGGAACAACCCGATTTCAAGTATATTCTACATTTTAACCATTTTTTTCGTACTAATTTTAGCTTATGTTGATAATTTAAGAAGAAACCATCTTTGCAAAAAATTATCACGTTTTGGTATGAAATAAACTCCGAAATGTCAATCTGGGACTCATTCAGTCGGAAATTGTGGCAGAAACATGAAAAAAATACGAAATTATAAAGCAACTTTATTGGATCTCCACCGCTAACTTTAAATGACAAACAATTAATGTCCATCTTACGGTAATCGGAGCAAAAGAGTAATTTTTTGGCTATTCTGACAACATTCTGCCTTCAAGTATGAGGTGGACAAAACTGAATACCACGCAGTACGGGATTTTAAACGTTGGAAATGCAAATTTCAAATTATAGCTCATTTGAATGCTTTTTACAATATCAAAAATTGAGCTGAATTTTCACATGGGGCTATTATAGATGTTCTTTATCATATAGGTATTTAACACTCAAATTAAAGCCTATAGCTGAAAAATAAGATCAGGGTATTCAAGATATCTAAAACCGACGGTAATTATAATTTTTGCCATGAATATTAATTTATATTTAGTCATGGAGTCATTACTCATAATCAAGTCATTATTTATAATCAAAATTGGAGTAATTATAATGGCGTCATTACTTATAATCAAAATTGTGCCGCCTACATAAGTCAGATCTGCCGGCAACGCGGACCGGGTCAGCTAGTATATATATATATATATATATATATATATATATATATATATATATATATATATATATATATATATATAAAAGTCAATTGTTGTTCGTTGGTAATGGAATCAGTTGAGAACGGCTGGACCGATTTGCATAATTTTTTGTACAAACGTTCGTCATACCCCGAGTTAGGTTCTTAAAGAAAAAATATTGACCACGCCTACTTTTACGCCCACTATTTCAATTCATATAAAATCCTTATATTTGCCAAATAAAAAAATATTGATACGAGGATTGATAATTATTATACGAGATACTGTCGACCTTCCATCCAGTCCTAGACACTTATTCGGCCGCTGGGGAACTGACCACGTATACTTTTTAATCTATATATATGGATAATTTTTTTTAATATTCGTTCTACCCGAGTTAGGTTTTTATTGAAAAAAGTGGCCACGCCCAATTTTACGCCCATTTTTATACCCTACACCACATAGTGGTCAGGGTATTATGTCTTTGTGCATTTGTTTGTAACAGGCAAAAGGAAACGAGATAGACCCATAGTTCCTTTTGATGATCTGCATAGAATCACATTCTGAGTCGATTTATGCATGTCCGTCCGTCCGTCTGTCCGTCTGTCCATGTATTTTTGTAAACAAAGTACAGTTCGCATTTATTATCCTATCCAGATGAAATTTTGCACAAATCATTTGTTTGGCCCAAGGACGAACCCTATTGAAATTGGAGATAATCCTTAAAAATTTAGATATAGCTCCCATATATATCTTCGTCCCATTTTCCTTTTATTGTGCACCAAACGTGTAATATCAAGCCGAATGGTATGGAATTTTGCACATACAACCCGATTAGGCCTGAAAATAAGTATGCCAAATTTTATCGAAATCGGTTCAGATATAGCTATAGCTCCCATATATACTGTTCATCCGATTTGTTATTTTTGTCCTCCGCAGCCGTAATATGCACTCTGTAACCACAATATTTTGGGAAGTATATCAAATACAACTCAGAAATACATTTGCTAAATTTTATCGAGATCGGTTCAGATTTGGATATAGCTCCCATATATAACTTCGTCCGATTTACCTTTTATTGTGTACCAAACGTCTAATATTTGTCCAAATGGGATGGAATTTGGCACTTACGACCGAATTGAGTCTAGAAGCTAGTATGTCAAATTTGGTGAAGATCGGTTCAGATATAGCTATAGCTCCCATATATACTCTTCATCCGATTTGTTATATTTGTTACCAACTGCTGTAATAAGCACTCCGTAACGACGATTTTCAGGGAAATATATCAAATACAGCTCAGAAATATCCTTGCCAAATTTTATCGAGATCGGTTCCGATTTGGATATAGCTCCCATATATATCTTTATCCGATTTCAAGTTAATTGTGCACCAAATGGGCAATACAAGTCCGAATTTAAAGATACAAATGCTTCGGCATATTCAGTCCTTTGAACTTTAAATTATAATTATAATCATAGCGTGTATGAACTTTTAATTTTTATGCGGAGCTCTACTAAATTAGAAAAGTGGTGTAGGGTATCATAAAGTCGGCCTCGCCCGACTTTAAGACTTTCTTTACTGTTTTTTTTTTTTTTTTTTTTGATTTTCCTAAATCCAAATATTTGCCAAAATCATGAAGATGTCTGTTCCACAGTATGTGCCGTAATCTTGACTCTTCCTCCAACCTTAGGTACCTGTTTGGGGTCAGAGGAACTGCCCACACCTACTTATTTAAATCTGTGTAAAAAATACTTTTCAAAGCATCAAACAGTAATAATCTCAACGTACTTTTAAATTGAGGCTATGCCTAAAGGGGAACCAATAGTATCCAGATATTTCCGGTATTGATTTCACAATACCGAAAACTTTAAATGTCAAGTTACAGATAGTTCGGTAGAAATTGTAACAAAAACATGCAAAAGGACGAATTTTTAGTGTTATTATTATACCTAAACGGAACTGATATATTCTAACTTCCTAGGAATATTGTAGTTCAAAGATTAAACTAAATATTTCGCCTTTATTGCGATTTCAACGAACGCCCGCATACACGGACAGACATATTTTAATCGACTGGTAAAAACTAAATACCTTATAACATGATCTTCTAAAAGTTACCAATTCTAAAATTACTTTTGACTTGGAAAATATTGCTAAGACCTTTATAATACTGAAAATTTAATTAAATACGATGATATAACGAATGTAAAGAGGTACTGGGGAGTAGAAAATAAATCATAAAGTGGACTTTTGTGGTAACATTCTGACAAATGATTTATAAACTCAAAAATGCTTTTGAGCCCTTCAACATACCTAAAATTTAAAGCACATTTGGTCGACGAATATTGGGAGATAATATTATATGTGGGATATATTTAAATGAGAACAAATACATACCTTTTGTAACATCAATAATCCTAAAAATAATATGTGCTTAGTCTGAAAGACGCATATTAAATTTGGTGACCTCTATCGTAATTGCAAATGGTGAATGAAGAGGCTCACGGACATAATTTAATCAACAAAGATTTCAACTTTTTAACACACTTTATAGGGTCCCTAACTTTTATAAATCGATGAAACTTTTTTTTGATAGTTAAATTAAAGACATATTGCCAGGATTTCAATTTAGGAATTACTATCGATTCTGAAGTCCAAAACAGCAAGAAATTGGCTAGGTATGGAACTTAAAATGCAAGATTCATTGGGACTGCAATCGGTGAAGAGCACTGTTATTTATGGACTATACAAAATAGTGGAGCAAGTTGAAAATTTAGAAAGAGGATTCATATTCTCGGAAAATTCTTCCGAAACCTTAAAAGTAACCTTAACTCACATGTAACGTTATACGGTGACTATGCGCTATCGTCAGTAATTACACTGCGGGATATTACACTTGGAAAATTGTTTAGTTAATATAAAAAAATCCCTAAAAGGGGTTTCGGGTCAAACTTTTTTAGGGTCCATTTTATATTGCTTAACCAAACACAAAGGGCCTCAAATATTTTACTCTATACTTCGCAAAAATTACGATAGAGTTTTAAATTTGATACAGTCCTAGGGGTTTCATGAAGAATCAGTTGTACAAAATATGTTTGGTCGGTCTAAATTGAAATTAAAAATCAAATTCCTCAAATGTTGGTAATTTGAGATTTTAGGAAGAACAACACAATCTTTCAAATAATTATAAGAATAGGACCATGCTTTGGTATAACCCTTATATGAAGGTATCCGCTGATTTCGGGTATTTCCAGCGACTTGGTCCCATTTTTCAATTGATTTTACCCTTATTTGGCATCTTAGCTTCTAAGGTGGTAGAAGACCTCTTCGTGTGTGTTTAGGCTAATTTGGATGTAGAGGGGCTATTAAAAAACAGTTAATGTATACTTTTTAATATATGTGATCTATTTTTTTTAGGTTTGAACTCTCAAATTAAAACCTCTGGCTGAAAATAATTATGCTTTAAAAACTATGCGTTAAAGACTAAATCTACAGACCGGCAACGCGGACCGGGCCATCTTATTACGTCTAAAATTATTATTTCGATGAGTTACAAACGGAATGGCGAACTTAATATACCCTTCATACTATGTATGGTGGAGGGTATAAAAACAGTTAATTTCGGTGGGGTCAAACATTTGGTACCATTAACCAAATTACAAACAAGCCCATTCAAAAGTGTGGCTACAATCGAGAAAGAATGGAACAGAAACAAAATTAGACGTAGTGAAATAAACACTGAAATATTATAGATATTATCTAATAACCGTTAAAAACTCAACAAAGTCTAATATGTCAAAAATAATGTATAGTTTCTAAATGTCACTCAATGAGTTAATAATTAAAAAATTAGATTTTGGCATAACACATGGATGGATTATCCATAAATGTTATGCTAAAACTGGATACAAATTCTGACTGGTACACCTCAATCGTCTACTTCTAGTAACGTTCTGTCGGATTTGAGGTGTTGATTGTGCAGCACGAACAGGTGCAATATGGATACGTCTCCATTCATTTCTTTCTACGGACATTCTGACTAATTATTGCACGACATCCAAGGTAATGAGGCACTACTGCAGCAAATAACTGTCCTAAAACAACAAAGACGTCTTTATTATTCTCTTTAGAAACACGTTAAGTGCAGCCGGACCGAAGTTTTGATACCTCCATCAAAAAGAGTTCTTTAAATGCTGCAAGTGACAATGCTTCGGGGGTTGTTACCTAGTGTGAGTTTCCAATTTCAAACTTTCAACAATTCCGTGGGAAATCGGTACCATAATTCCGAACCTGATACAAAATGTGGCTAAGATACTGAATGCTCGAAAGCACCGTTATATGGGGCCCTATAGGAAAATCAAGACCATTTTAGGCAATATTATGTCAAAGGAGACATAATCCATTATAAACTTTAAATACCGAATTCAAAACAATTCCGTGGGAAAATTTCGTTGAAATTGACAAAATACGGAATAACTAGATGTGCCGTTCAAAGCTCTTAGTCAAATGATATGAGCTGAATCTAAATTTCAATAGACAGACAAACTCAATCAGACGGACACTTTTAAATCGATTTAGAATTTTATGATCTTTATACTCTTTATGGGGTCTCTGACAAATATTTGGAATGAGAAATTTCATAAATCATCAATTCCACTGTGGAGGGTATAAACATTTGGTATGTTCCAGAACTGCAAAAATGTAAATGTTTTTACTACGATAACCGATTTTCCCTTTATGATATCGAAGTAAATTGCAAAGCTAGTAGATTCTTGTAGGTTCTGGAACAGGCCAAGTAATTAAGTCGTAGTTCATTATTAGCAACTGGAGAGTTTTGTACGTTCCATGAATCGGTGCCGAAACGGACATAAATAAATGGCGATACATGCCCAATTCATCAATGTTTTCGAATTTTGGATTTACGATTTTGGTTGAACATCGACACATGAATGCTACATTTAAAATACAAACTATACAATCTTAAAAATATCCATAGATTTCAATGCGTAAAAAATAATTCTACAATTCAGTCACATGTATTCGAACTATTTTGTTTTGTTTTACAAAAACGTGAACAACCGCGTCGCAAATGCTTATTTACATTGAAATTCTGGCTTACCTACACATAAGGGTTAATTAACAATAAATCTGTATTGCGCAAGTCACCAAAAAAGCGAAGTTTTTATAATTGAACACATTCCACCGGTTTTGAATAAACACATGCTTAACACTGGGGATGGGGATTTGTTTACAACATAACAACCCTCATTTTTCAGTTTTGTTTTGGTACACAATTCTATAGGTATCCTGCGACATCCCATTCTCTCTAACATCATAATGTCAACAGAGCCATTCAAAAGCACTAAGAGAAGATTGAAATTGTACTCTGCACAAAGTAAAATCAGTGTCTGGTCGGCTTCATTGCCTTAAAGGGCTCTGAAAAGAACGCGTTATACATATTTCCATATTTTGATTAGTGACTTTTCGAGTGGTAAATGGAGACAGTGATTGAAGGAAAATAATATTAAATCCAAGAACACACAATTATGGCTGACTCCGGAGATAGACGCTATCAGAAACTTCCACCTGGATGGGATTGTAAATATGACCAGGAAACCGGAAATTGGTAAATATAATTGTGCACAATCAAGACGTTTCAAGATGGTTATATGGTATACGACAATCTACAGCAATCTGGTTCAAAAGTGTGTATTGCGTGGCGTACATATATTTCGTTTATTAAATAGTTTAAGGGATTCTGATTGTGTAATTGTTTAATTTGTGCCGCTAGATGTAGGTCGCATTGAATATGAGTACCCTGGCATTTATTTATATTATATATATATGTGAATGTACAAAAATCCTAAAAAGTGAAGTGTGTGCGTATGATTACTAGGGTGATACTTATTTTCTCAAATTACTACAGCAGAAAATGAAGGAAACGATGTATATAATGCTTGTTGTTAATATTATTTAAATGTAGTCATGCTTAGAATAAAATTGTACAATTCTCATCGAAACTCAACATTAATTTGGAACCTAATTGTGATTAACTACAAATTGTTCATCTATTATATTATAGTTTCGGCTGCATTATTGTGTTCTATCAAACAAACAAATTTTCAATATTACATAGGCATAATATTTCAAAATCTTTATCAGTTTAGTTCGACAAATATAACTAAAGATCCGGTATATGTTACAGTGATTAGTTATGACACTTTACATACTTTAAATATTTTGATGTTTATAAACCAGTATGGAAAGGACAAAAGACGACCAGGGCAGACAATTTGACAACTTACGTTTGATAACAAAAAATCTTTATAAGAGAATCGTACCAAATATATGAGAGCTATAGCTATATCTGAATCGATTGGTCCATACTTATTAGACTCGTGTATAATATATATCCAAAAAGAGGAAGATATATGCAGGCATATCTATATCTAAATTTGAAACGATCTCGATCAAATTTGTCAGAGGTATATCTAGGGTGTATCTATCTGTTTTTAAAGACTATCATCATTAGTAAATGCAGGTTGCGGCTTTAGTAGATTTACACATCAAATCGGATGAAACAAATCGAATGGGAGCTATATCAAAATATAGACAAACATTGGCTGACCACTCAGAAAACCAAATGTTCAATTACAGATGATTTGATTGGAAATCGGTGCTGAAATCTTCAAAATACCTACAATGGGGAGATACTGCTATATGGAGTCTTAAGCAAAAACAAAGCCATAAAACCTTCAAAAGATTAAAAATTGACAAAAACCATATGATTAAAATTCGAGAAAAATACGCCAAAAGTTACATTTTTTAAAGCCATATGTCAAGAACTGCGGATGTGACATCGCTTTTTATTTAAAAAAGGCGAATTACTCTCGTATCGTTAGCAACTTCCTTTCCCCATTTGAAAAGCAACACTTGTAAAAATTTGTCTATAAGTGGAGAAATTTCAGTAATACATCAAATTTATTTCGGTATTTAGTTCTTATATTAACCATATCGGAAAACCCGGCCTTATATACGTATGCGGTAGCAAAGGTGAGGAGGACTTTGAAAGCTTTGTCAATTTGGCAAGTATTTTTGCTTTTATCGACATACAAGTTTATCTCTATCTTTACATATCGAGGGTAACATGTCCGATTCTACCTTTTTCAACTCTTCCCCGAAATGGGTGACAAGTTATTTCTCAAAAATGATAATGGTTCTTGGTTGCATTTGGGTTTCTAGTGTTTCAAAACAATCATGCGTTCTTAAACAATTAAAATCAAAATCGCATCACCAAACTATGGTGCCAAAGGTAATGTTTATGACTAATTTTGTCATTCCGTTTGTAACATCCTTAAACATTCGTCGTAGACCCCATAAAGTATATATATTCATAATCAGCATAATATTCTAAGTCGATTTAACGATGTCCGTCTGTCTGTTGAAATCACGATACAGTCCACATTATTTGACATATTTGGCAGAACAAATTGTATAGTGTCTAGGATGGTTGGTATTGAAAATGGGACATAACGGTTCACGTTTTCGCATTTCCATAGCATTTTTGCTACATTTTTTCACGGATTTGTCTAAAAATTCGTATTTGTAGTTCGCAAAGGGTTCTAGATCCGGTGGCGGAACATATGTATGTCTACGTTTTGGTATAGCCCCCATATAACAGTACCTCCGGGTTGTCGGTATTTTGATGCCACATTTTTTCAAGGATTTGTCTAAAAATTGGTATTTGTAGGTAATAGTGGGCTCTAGATGCGGTGGCGGAACATTGTATGTATCCATAGTATAGAGGGTATATTAGGTTTGTCATTCCGTTTGTAACACCTCGAAATATATAATTTAGACCCCCAAAGAATATTATTCTTGATCAGCATAAAATTCTATGTCGATTTGGCTATGTCCGTCCGTCCGCCAGTGGAAATCAATCTAGCTTCCGAACGAAATGAAGTAGTTTGATTTGATTTGAATTTACTCAAATGTATGTTATGTCTGTAGGACTTTTGGTCAAATATGGTATTTGAAGTTCGTAATGGACACTACAGCCCATGACAGAAATTGTCCGTGCAGCTTCAAATTTGGTATTTGAAGTTCATAATGGATATTACAGAAAATTCTCCGTGCGTCTTCGTATAGCCCCCATATAATGGTAACTATATTCGGTATTTTAATGATTTTTGCTACATTATTCACCGAATTTTTTCAAGGTCGCATTTGAATATCGTAATGGCTCATGACAAAGGTTGCCTATGCAGGTCCACGTCCTAATATAACGGTTACATTCTATATTTTCTAAGATTTTAAACGGATTTAATTTTTTTTGAAAATTGCTAAATTCCTTCCAAATGGCGGAGGGTATTCAATGTTCGGTCCGGCCGAACTTACAGCTTTTTTACTTATTATATTGCCCCTATATAAAGGTAATTCCCGTATTTCCCGGTATTTGCAGTTCATAATGGGCTATAGCTCCTGCAGGGCAAATAGTATGTATAGGTCCACGCTTTTGTATAGCCCTCATATAAAGATAACTCCCGATATTCCGTATTTTGATGATTTTTGCCACATATTCCCATGGATTTGTCTAAAAATTGGTATTTATAGTTTATAATGGGTTTTAGCTCCGGTGGCAGAAAATTGAATATTCTAGACACATTTACCCACGAAATTGTTTCAAATTTGGTATCTAAGAAGATTTGTTGATGACAATCTTTGAAGTATAAAATTGTGGATAGAGGTTTTTGAAAAGTGTAACATTATTATCCAAAAGGTCTTATTGGTATTTGTAGTTAAAAGTGGAACACGTTTGAATTCAGATATTTTATATAAAAATGTTTTCTTAATCCAAGGTGGAGCGTATTAATGTTTGTTTACTTGTTTGGTGTTTGTTTTGTTTTGAAACAAATTAGTATTTGCTATCAATACATGGTAGAAGAATACAGGTAGATGCATCAACGCTTGGTAAAATTGATATATCAAAAATTTTTAAATGTTTTGTCAAAAATTAGTAGAATATGTTTTCTTATATGATGCAAATCGGGATTATTATAATATGCATTTTTCAACAATTTTTACAAATCGGTTTGACAGTTCATTGTCCCAGCAGTTGGATCGATGCGACTACTGGTATTCTTCTACCTGTATTCTTCTACATGTAAGATCAGTTGTGCATTATTTTCGTCCACGTTTTCCAAAACCCATAAAAATGGATGGTACAGGGTAGTGTTTTTATATGGGGTAACTAAAAAATGGGCTAATCTTCATAATTTTTCTAATTGAAGGCTTACTTTCCGCAATGAAATGCAATCAGTTTTAAAATACGGCTAAAATCTTTCAAGTACTTCAAATTGTTAAATGTTGTATAATAACACTCAATAATCTTCACTTCTAATGCGTCCTCAAAATAAATTTGTGCAAAATTATAGATTTCTTTATCTAAAACAATTAACAAAGGGAAAGTCGACTAAAGTATCGGTCAATTTTATTGTTTTATGTATTTTCTGCTCCTAATGCTCATTATTTATCAAATGAAAAAGTCTAGTTTTCATGTAGAATAATTATTAATGATAAAAGTAAATAATAATTATGCGTGAAATCAGGTTATTACATACAGATTTACATTCCTTAGAGCTACTTAATTTAATGTTTATGTATCACCAAACCGTGACGACTGGGTAACGCGTTCGGGGTATCTATCAGGGTTTCGTAAAACTCGGTTAAATACACTTGGAAGCCACCATTAACTTAACATATATCTTAATTGTTTAAGCACTAAATATGTAATGCAAATCTATTTCAGCTATTATATAAATTATATCACAAAAGCGATGCAACTTCATGATCCACGTTATCGACTTCTACAAAATGAAAGATGCTCATCTGAATCCATAGCAATGCAGGTCAGTATTTATTAATGACTTTCAAAAATAATGTATGTGTTAATTTCAGTTTTTTTAATTTACTGGCAGTTCGTCCCAATATTCGAGATTTACAATGCTGTGGCTATGAAAATGTGCTCATATTGAAATTCTTCGATAATAAAAACCAGTAAAGAAAGGTCAAAAGTTGGGCGGGCTTTATGATATCTTCACAACTATGCATATTTATTAGAGCTACCTTTTACAATTAAACATTTATATTGGGAATTAATGTAAAGTGGATCGTACCAATTATGAAAAACTGCATAATTTTTCTGTATTATAGCTTTAAAGCTGATATAATTTGGAATCAGTAAAATGTATAGGATATATATCCAAATCTGTATCGATTTCCACCAAATTTGACGAAGGCATTCTTTCTTACCAAATAACATGGCTATAGAGTGGATGATGTGACTTCGAGAAGGGTTACATAAAACAAGTAGAGAAAGGTTAAAAGTCAGGAGGGTACGTCTTTATGATAGACGTTTTATGAAATCAAAATCTGACCCGATCCCAATACAATTAAGCAGAGCTATTTCTATGCTGTATCTGATAGTTAGCACCAAATATCGTTGATGTGGAGAGCATTTTATGGGTGTGAGGGCCTTAGATACAAAATCAGAGGAAACATATATGGGACATATAGCTTAATCTTAACCGAATTTTTATTAAATTTGATGCATTTTATTCGTATGTGCCAAAATCCATTCAATTTGGACTTATAGTAACAATTTGGTGCCTAACAAACTTGAAATCGAGTAAATATATATATGAGAGCTATGTGTAAACCTAAACCTATTTCGATAAAATTTGTCAAAGGCATTTCTAAGCTGTATTTGAAAGGTTTATAGGTCGAAGATGTATGTGGGATCTATATCTAAATGTTGACCATTTATTTTCAATTTCAATAGGGTTGGTCCTTGTGATTTGTGTAAAATTTCATCACGATCGGCCTATATATCCTTGAACTTTTTTACAAAAATAAACGGACAGATGGACAGACTGACGGGCAAAATCGACTCAACAAAATGAACAATGGGTCTATCTCGTTTCCTTCTCTAAATTACAAACAAAAGCACAAAGACATAATACCCGGACAATTGTGATGTAGAGTATAAAACTATTTATCGGAGCTATATATATGTGGGAACCGGGTTTCAACAAATGCGTATTTGCCTCCAAGATAAATTAAATTTAATGTGCGAAAATCCATCCAGTTTTAGGTGATATAACAAATTTTTAGCGCACAACAACCGTAAAATCTGATGAAGATGTATATGAAATCCAAACCTGAACCGACATCGATAAAACTTTTCAGAGGTATTTGTGAGCTACATCTGATACCAAATATCATTGTTGTAGGGTGCATATGTGAGGAGCTTTAACACCAAACCTGATGAAACATATATATGGGAGCTATAGTTATATCTCAACTGTTTTTTAAACAAATTTGAAGTATTTTCTTCTAGGCTGAATTCGCCGTACGTGTCAAAATCCTCACCATTTGGGCTGATATTAACCATTTGGTGCACAATGAATGTCAAATCGAATAAAGATATATATGGGAGCTATATCAAAATCGGAACCGATTTTGATGAAATTTGACAGAGTTATTACTGGGGGTATCTTATATCTGGTTTCAAAGATAATTGTTGTAGAGTGCATATTACGAATATGAGGTCTGATTAATCAATTTCTACTCAAAGAATTTTTTGGGTACTAACATATGTAGCAATACTGCTAAGTAAAACTTGACATAAAATTGTAAAATTTGACACAAGAATCATTTCTTGCATAAAGGGGTCGAAATTGAACTTGCAGGCGGGTTACATTGAAGTGTAGTACTGGTGGCGAAACTGAATAGATGAGTCGAAATACACTAAAGTTAAAGGATGATTATTTTTTTTTTACATCGCTAAAAATTTACGAAACAAGACACTATCTCGTTGCAAAAATTCTAAAATCGGGAAAAAATCGAGAAAATTTTTTCAATCGAATCGAATATCAAAATAAAAATATATTCTATTGACAAACTCCGTAAGGACCTTTAAACATTTGCTGTAAATGTACCAGCAAACAAGTTGAAGTTTTTTTTTTTCAATTTGTATTTCTTTTTTGTCAATTTTATATAATGTACGATTTGTTTTCAATTTGGGTTATCATATTGAATTTAATCCTTTTTTGTGAACAAAACAAAGAATTATTTTCACCATATAAAGGAAAGTTATGTTTGTTACTACGCTTATAACTCAAGAACGGTTTGACGGATTTGGACAATTCATACAATTTCGAAATCGCGTGAAAATATGCCAATAAAAATGTGAATGAAAAAAATCTTTTTGGCGTGAAAATTTTTCAATTTTATGTACTATATTGAAATGTTCATTTTTTATTGTTTTGAATTCTAAATGAATAATATCAAAAATGAAATGAGTGCGCAATACGGCATTAAATAGCGATCTTTCATGTCTAAAATGGGCATCTAGCTTTCAACTCTCGAACACATTTAAACAAACGCAAATAACCGACGAAGCCTTATGGAGCTCATTTCAAAACGAGGATCTACTTCTTTGACGTGATAACAATCAGTCCAATGAGAAGTCGAAATGCAAAACTCGTTGGGACTGTAATCAGTGAAATACCGAATGTAAAGGGTGCAAAATAGTATAGCGAATTGGATAATAAGAAAAGAATTTGTTTTAACTTTCAAAACAGCTTAAATCGCTTTTGAAGGTCAAGATATGGGTCATAACCCCTGGATAATGCTACAACCCGATTTCAAGTATAATTTACATTTTAACCATATTTTTCACACAAATTTCGCCAAAACTAATCACGTTTTGGTATAACCATAACATAATTTAAGCTATTTTTGGGGTCTTGGCCCCTTTTTTCATTTCTTGGCCCTTATTTGGCATCTTTGTTTCTAAAGGGGATACAAAACCTTTCCGCGTACAATTTACAATTTTCCGAGTAGGACCCATATTGGTCTTGACTACATTACACATTGATTTGGCTAAAAAATTGTACAGACTGCTGTCATTTCAAAGCCACCCCGACAGCTGTTAAAATTATTCCAGTGACATCTCATAATATTTTTTATAAGCGTATAAAAGCATTTTGATTATAATTTTCCAGAAAAAAAGTTATTCGTGATGGAATTCAAGCGTGATAGTGTGATTTCTTTATATTTAGCTAAAAAACCACAAGTGGCTATCGTTAGAGCACTCCAGAATTAAAATGTGAATGAATCTTTTGTGTCTCGTACCATCGCTCGTTATCGTGATACTGGTAGCGCAGCCCGACGTCAAGAAAGTGGATGGCAGAACACAGCAACATCAGCAGAAATGGTTCGAAAAGTAAAGAAGCGACTTGATCGAAACCCGAGTCGCAGTGGCCGAAAAATAGCTCGTGAGCTGATCGCAATATTCCATTCGCAAATATTGAGAAATGAACTCGGGGTAAAGCCATTGAAATTCCAAAAAGTGCGAGAACTTACACCGGAACGGAAAGAAAATAGACTCAAAAGAGCTAATGAGTTGTTTCGTTTGTCCGAAAGCGATGAGAAAACATTCGTTGTCAGCAGTTTGTAAACAAACAAAATGATCGTGTTTACTTGCCAAAGAGGTCAGCTGAAAATGCACCTTCGGTTGGCCACCAGCACTCAAGCGCCGGCCATGGTGATGGTGTGGGCCGCCATAACAGCCGATGTTCGCTCTCAGCTCGTATTAATTGACCGTGGCATCAGAATAAATGACGAATATTATCGTGAAAATATTCTGGAGGGTGTATTAAAGTCTTGGGCACGCAAACATGCAGTTTTTTATCTCGCCCTGTATTTAGACTCTTCTAGGGTAGAGAACCCTCTTACAGTTAATTGTCCACATCCGCATTTATTTAAGTACACATTATTTTTACCCCTAAGTCCACTTTCCCAACCGATGCGTGGTCAGAAAAGAAAATTTGTATCAGGATAATATTTGTTAGGAACGTAGATTTGGGATGTACGTCTATATAAAATAAACTCCGAAATGTCAAACTGGGACTCTTTCAGTCGGAAATTGTGGCAGAAACGTGAAAAAATTACGAATATTAGAAAGTAACATGGGACTGTTAATACTCATTTTATTAAAATACACTAAAGTATTGTTCAACAGTAAGGAATTTACAATGCTTACTTGTTCTACATTAGTATTTAATTTTTGTCACTATTCTCTTAAACTCAACATATTTTCATTAATATAGGTTGCAATAATTAGAGTACCTAATTGTACATATTAATTCGGATGAATTAAGAACATATTAACATTGAATTTTTGACATTTTATTATGTTACTCTAATAAGTTTGTATATATTTTTAGTCCTTACATGGATCTGGGGGATCACCATATCACGTCTACCCAAGCAACAATATGCCAGTTATACGTGCATTCCAAACACCGAATTCTAGTCTTCAATATATGTCTACCAGTCCATTATTGCCATCTTCCAGAACCCACTTGATAAATGTAAGTTTTTTTTATTGTAAACACCAGATCATATTGACCTCCCCATTATTGTAGGATATGTCCCCTTTACCTGCACAAAAATATCAAATTCCACAAGCTCCTCGTACTGTGAATTTATCGCGACGTTCGACTATACAGGAAACATCGTTTTCAAATCAAATTGATACTGATGCTGTCGTAAAAAAAATTCAAAATATGTTTCCCACAGCGAGTGAAAATCACATACGGTTACTTTTAAAAAAGTGAGTATTTTATCTACGTACGAGGAATTGTAAATATATTGATAATAACTCTACATCTTCTAACTTCTTGTAACAATTACGAGTTTATTAAAAAAAAAAAACATTATGAATTACTGGATGTGTATCGGATATTAATTGGATTTGTATTAAATTTGTAATGTTGCGTGATGTTTTTTGCCTCCGTATAAATCAATTAAACTTAATTTTGTTTCAAAATAGACCAACATCCACTCAAATCATATTTTTGGCCTCTTTTGTCCTTTTTAAATCTACTTTAAACTAATTTTACTATTTTCTATTTCATTTGCTGCTTTATTATCGGAATATGGATTTTTCGAATTTGATTAAAAAAACATGCATTTATGTTTAGATATTATAATCGAGAAGCTGTTGTTATAAGTGCTTTGCAGGTGGAAAAGCATCCAGTTACAATGCCAGGACCACATGTTACACCACCAGGACAGAGACATTTGTTTCACAGCAATTCTTCCATCCATATGACCCCACCAGTTCGGCGCTTTGATACTGGTTCACATTTACGCGGCCTAGAAATGGGCAACAGCTATTCACGCACAGCGAGTCCAGTACCACAGGGTCGTCTTGGTAGTGCAATGAGTGTTAATAGTGGTAACATAGTTCCACTTGTACTACCACCATTCCACGGATCCCCATGTTTAGGTGAACATGTCCGAAACTCACCAAAACCGCATTCATCTCCCAAAATGAAATTAAGGTAAGCAATCTCAGGTTATGCATGAAGAAAACACTATCTATATTGGGTTAACTTAAATTAAAGCACCAAAAATATTCTTTCGCTGTTATTTTTCAAAAACGGTAGCTGTTGCTGTGACATTTTTACAGCACTGCTGGCAGTCAAAGTCATGATATGCAAAAACCAACACTGTAGCAGTAACGCGCTATTTTCGATTTCACACCACGTAACTTTAACTGCATTGTGGCTATGAAATACTCAGAGCACAGCTGGCAGCTGCTGTCATCAAACACGAAAACTGTTCTGTGAATCTATGACATTAGGTGTGTCTGGTTACCCTAAAATTTGTAACAATTGTTACAAATTGTTACTGGAAGTCGTCTGTTAACCCGAAAGTTCTGCAAAAGAGAGCGGTTAGAGAGAGAATTTTTGACAGTTCTTTCAGTGAGAGTTTGCAAATTCTTGCTGGAAAAAATTCTTCTTGCAATCACTTGCAACTCTTCTTCTTCTCATTCATCGACATTCAATCAGATGTTTTCTATTATTTATTTATTTCTTTTTGTGCTTTTAATTTGAAAATATGGTTTTGGAATTAACAAGACTAATTGTTTTTGGAGAACAACTTTACAAAATGTGAAAAACATAAATATTAATATGTTATAAGAAAATAAAAGACTATTCCCAACATTTTAGACAAATGCCATTACAACAGGTTTAAAGGATTCCGCGGAACACATCAAATCTATCTTCCTTTTATTGCTCATATTTTTTTTATTATTGTCAATTTCCTTTTTATTTATAAAACTTGTGAAATTGGTGCTGGTTCCTTTCGTTTAATTCTTTTAATGGGGGACAAATTGGTTTGTTTTGACAAATCAGCTGATTTTTTGCAAGCTTCTGCAGGAATACCGTCTGTTTACTTTTCGCAATTTCCTTGCAAAAGAGAATAAAACTACCTTACTCTCGCAGAAAGATGTTACTGGACAATTCCTGCAGGAGAAGTAACCAGACACACCTATTACTATGATGAGATATAAAACAAGTAAGCAAAGGCTACAGTCGAGCGGGGCCGACAGTTGAATACCCTACAACACTATAATAAACGATACAGTATATATAGGCCAGATACTTCAAAGTATTCCGCATGATATTGTGACAAATAATAAAAGAAAACCATCAGGTTTCGTTCTCTAATTTTGGAATAATAGCAACTTTAACTAATTTGCTCATTTCCAATTTATTGGTAGATGTTGCACGTAAATGGTCTTCCTAGATCTGGAACCAATATTTCCCAAAGACCTTTAATCTCTCAGAAGTGGCAAAAGATTAATATTTATTATTGGTTTTTGACTGAACGAAATCAGCGTTAACGAAATAGTCAGAAGTGTGTCTTTCCTGTATTTGTGAATTCTCCAAAAAGTCACTGGAATGGACATTTTCGTATTTTGTCTACAAAAATTGGCAAACTATTTCACACATTGAATATTTTTGGATGGCCATCCAAAACTGCTTGGCTTTTGTAATGTCCGGTAACTCCCATTCAAATGTGCGTAAGGATCGGGCGATAATTACGACCTGCAGACAATTTTGCAGTTTTTTGGTCCATTTCAACCCCTAAATATATGGCGATCATCTCCAAAAAGAGTAGTCTTCTATTCTGACCCTCATCTTATCTCCATGCAAAATTTCGCAAGGATCGGGCCATAAATGCGATCTGTATATGATATCCTGATATCCTAACTACTTAGTTTTGTTAGCTGTAGAAATATTACCAAATGTTTAATTCAAAATGAAAATATGCCAAAAATATGACAAAATTGAAAAAATATGAGAAAATTTTACAAAATCCATATTTTCATCTTTAGAGAGATATGTTTATGCGATTTTTTTAGACTTTTTTTCTTTCCTGCCAAGAGGCCATTCTGAATTAATGAGAACTGTCGAAATCAGTTCAGCCGTTCTCAACATATAAGAGATTTTTCAAGCATATCTTCTTTGATTAACATATATATCGCACATATTTTGCTATATATCCGTTTTGTTGAATGTTAACATCAATGTAAAGATCAGAAGTAACCTTGCCATGGATTGGTGATTTCGCCGGGATTTAAAATATTCGCGGTTTAATGAAAAATTTTGAATTTTTTCAACACAAAAGATATGGTCTATTTTACTCGCTAAATATTATCCGATGACCACCCAAATTGGTAGGCTTCTTCCCCGCCCTAAACTCTAGCTACATGCGAAGTTCCGCGTCGATTGGTCTATAATTGCGACCTGTATAGCTACTGCAAAATCCGACATTTTTTCAGTTTTTGGTCCATTTCGACCCCTAAATATTATGCGATCATCTCCAAGATAAAGAAATAGGGTTATATTCTGACCCTAGCCCCACCTCCATTCTAAATTTCGTGAAGATCGGGCCATAATTGCGACCTGTAGAGTGATTATAAATTAACATGGACAGACAGACAGACGGACGGACGGACATACATAGCTAGATCGACTCAACTCGGCGAGATAGGAAGATCCATATATACTTTCCTATGTGGGAAATCAATATTTCGAGGTGTTACATAATTTTTGGCCCAATGAAACTTATAATACCCCCAACACATAGTGTTGTAGGGTATAAATATATGATTAGATCAAATACTATAGGAAAATAATTCAAATAATCTGCTGCTATTTAGTTTGCAAATTATGTGAAAAAAAAAAACTATTATAAGGGGACTATACCAAAACCTGGACCTATATGGACAGTACCAATCTACAGGAAGTTCACTTTCAATCTGCTAGTCAAGTTATATGGGAGCTATAATAAAACATTGACCTATATGCATTTTCATTGCGAAGTTAGTGTGCTTTCCACAGACGGACATATTTCCACAGATCAACATATTTTTATGCTGATCAAGTATATATATATTTAATATGCCCTCCCTACTATGTGGAGAATATAATAACGGGCCAGACACACAGACTGAGTCAGCTAGTTATATTTAAAAGACAATGGCGACTGCTACGATCCTTTTGGGTTTTATACCCTACACCACAAAGTGGTCAGGGTATTATGTCTTTGTGCATTTGTTTATAACAGGCGAAAGGAAACGAGATAGACCCATAGTTCCTTTTGATGATCTGCATAGTATCACATTCTGAGTAGATTTATACATGTCCGTCCGTCCGTTTGTCCATGTATTTTTGTAAACAAAGTAAAGTTCGCATTTATAGCCGTATCCAGGTTATGGATGAATAAAACACTATTTATATTGGGTTAACTTAAATTAAAGCACCAAAAATATTTTTGCAAATTATGTGAAAACCAAAATACTATTATAAGGGGTGTAAATTAGAATAGAGTCCAATCTCCCTCTTCGATTGTCAACTCCATCCCTTTTTCTGTGAGAAAATAAACACGACCGCTTCGTTAGGGTGTTATTTCAATTCTGATTTTATTTAAGAAATATGTTCCTTACGTACTACTGAAACTAATCTAACTTAACCTAGTCGCAGCCACACAATTGTTCTTATCTATTCTAATATTGAATGGAGAACATTGCAGGGCTGCTTGTAATTTCATTCAAGTGGTCTTGTGCATCTACTGAGCGCATCGATATCTGTGCCTGTGGGTCATAACCTTTATTATCTCGCACATTATCGTATGCGTCAGCGCACAAGATCACTGAATTCTTCATATGTGATATTTTATGGCGGCTGGGAAATATTTAATTTTAGACCATTTATTTTTATTGCTACATTTTCCCAGCGCCTCAATCGCACTCAAAAGTATGTACAAAGTATTTTGTACAATACCAAAACCTGTACCTATATGGACAGTACCAATCTACAGGAAGTTCACTTTAAAATTGTGACTAAAACACCTACAACACCTTTAATCTGCTATTCAAGTTATATGGGAGCTGTACTAAAACATTGACCTATATGCATTTTCATTGTGAAGTTAGTGTGCTTTCCACAGAAGGACATATTTCCACAGATCAACATATTTTTATGCTGATCAAGTATATATACACTTAATATGGCCTCCCTACTATGTGGAGAGTCAGCTAGTTATATTTAAAAGACAATGGCGATTGTTACAGTCCTTTTGGTTTTTATACCCTACACCACAAGGTGGTCAGGGTATTATGTCTTTGTGCATTTGTATATATCAGGCAAAAGGAAACGAGATAGACCCATAGTTCCTTTTGATGATCTGCATAGTATCACATTCTGAGTAGATTTATACATGTCCGTCTGTCCATGTATTTTTGTAAACAAAGTACAGTTTTTAAAATGTCCATGTATTTTTGTAAACAAAGTACAGTTCGCATTTATAGCCCTATCCAGGTAAAATTTTGCACAAATAATTTGTTTGACACAAGGACAAACCCTATTGAAATTGGAGATAATCGGTTAAAATTTATATATAGCTCCCATATATATCTTCGTCCGATTTGCCTTTTATTGTACACCAAACGTGTAACATCAGCCCGAATAGTATAGAATTTTGCACATACAACCAAATTAGGCCTGAAAATAAGTATGCCAAATTTGATCGAAATCGATTCATATATAGCTATAGCTCCAATATATATTGTTCATCTGATTTGTTATTTTAGTCCTTCGCAGCCGTAATATGCACTCTGTAACAACAATATTTGGGGAAATATATCAAATACAGCTCAGAAATACATTTGCTAAATTTTATCGAGATCGGTTCAGATTTGGATATATATCCCATTATAACTTCGTTCGATTTACCTTTTATTGTGACCAAACGTCTAATATTTGTCCAAATGAGATGGAATTTGGCACTTACGACCGAATTGAGTCTAGAAGCTAGTATGTCAAATTTGGTGAAGATCGGTTCAGATATAGCTATAGCTCCCATATATACTGTTCATCCGATTTGTTATATTTGTTACACACCGCCGTAATATGCACTCCATAACAACGATATTCAGGGAAATATATCAAATACAGCTCAGAAATATCTTTGCCAAATTTTATCGAGATCGATCCCATATATATCTTTATCCGAGTTCAAATTAATTGTGCACCAAATGGGCAATACAAGTCCGAATTTAATATATACAAATGCCTCGGCATATTTAGTCCTTTGAACTTAAAATTATAATTATAATCATAGCGTGTATGATTGAATTCTCCCATAAAAACTTTTAATTGTTATGTGAAGCTCTACTAAATTAGCAAAGTGATGTAGGGTATCATAAAGTCGGTCCCGCCCGACTTTAAGACTTTCTTTACTGGTTTCTATTCTAAAAAGGTTGTGTGTTCCGACAGGTATACGGCTAAACATTACCGAAACGAATAATGTTGGATACAAATATCTATCTTGAATTCGAAAATTATTCAACATTGATATAAGACACAGTTTTTTGTTTCCTCTATGGCTTGCTGGCTTGATTTACTCGTTTTATTGAACTTTCGAACCTTGTGAACAACTTCATATAATTTTATCTGCTATTCCATAGTCCACACCGAATATTCTGCTTTAAACAATTTAAGACAGTCCGTTGTTATCCCTTATATATAGTTTAATTCATTATTCTTTTGCATAGCATTAAGATGTTATATTAAAGTTTTACCGCTGACTGATGCCGATTTGGGGAAGGGATGAAACATGTTACCACAATTTAATTACATATACCATGCATATTGGATTTTTAATTGATGTCACCCTCCAAATTTTTTAATTAATATTTTTTCACAGATATATGAAAATGATTTTTCCGAAAGCAGACGAGACATTGCTTTTAGATGTATTAGCTAATGCTGATAATAATGTTCAAAAAGCATCTGAAAAAATAATATCCTTGGGTTATACTAAAAAGGAATTTGTTCCGAATCAAAAATCGATACAAAATCCTGTGGATCAGTCAGGTTTCGATGAACAAAATCGAGCTACTCAAGCTGTTACTACCATACCACTACGTCCAAAAGAATATACAGAAGATGAAAAATTGGCAAGTAAGTATTTGAGACTGAAGCATAGATTTTTTAATAGTAGTAGTATATACATAACAGGTTTGTGTAAAAGGTGGAAGCTGCTAAATGAATACTCTTACGAAAAATATTATTCATTTCATACTTCTAAGACATAAATAAATACAACTACATCAGCATTTTGCTACAATAAACCTCTTAGATATATGTCGATTCATACATTTTTTTCTTTTGCAACTTTTAAAAATTATTTTTTTGTACAAGTCCTTGTTAAAAATGTCTTTGGATTGGCATAGAATAAGAATGCAGACCCTGGTAGTTAAAAAATATTGAAATTTTTAAGCAGTCTCCCATTTAAATTTTATTATTATTTTTTTCAGTAAAAGAGAGACTTCAAGGAACATATCCACATATTGTGGAATATGTAATACTTATGGCGCTTGAATCAGTAAATTACGTGGAAGATCGGGCCAGACAAATACTACAAATTGTTCACGACGAAGAACAGGAACGTGCTATGAGTCAAATATACTCTTCTCGTGGTTTGACTGAACTTGATAATGTATCTGCCCCCAAGGCAGATGTCAGAGACGGCACTTGTCTCTCACATGTATCTAGGTAAGTACATCTAATATACCAATGACTTAATTTGAGGGACCATAATCATCATCATATGGCATATCTCATAATTCTGCTATATCCCTTTTTTCTTCTGCTAATCAATTTTAAATTTGCTCATTTTATTTGTTTATAATTTCAAAACGATTTATTTAAAAAATAAACTACCATAGCCGTTCAAAGAAAAGCGACCTTAAAGATAAAACAGCAGGTATTTCATCAACCACAAAGGATGCTTTAGGTACCGAGGTGACGAATGCCGCAGCGTCTAGAGAAAATGATGATAATTTAATATTAAGTCTCAACTTGAATCTGTCAGCTGTTACCATGGAGACGAAGAGTATCTTAGACCGTTATCGTTTGAGTTTCAATACTAGTTCTAGCCATTACATTCGTGGAACATGTGCATCAACAAAATTTTGGGATAAACTGTCCCCACAATCACGAGATAAATCCGATTCGTTAAAGTATGCTATACATGTATATTTTTCTATATATATGAGAGATTTCAACTTTATTATATAAATAATGGTATATCTATAAAATTTATTAAATGTTGCCAGAGCATATATGCATTTGTAGTTAGGAATGTTTTATATAAAAACAAATTTTTGTGTCAAAATAGCCAGACTTACAGCCTGTTTTTGTAACATGTTTCCCATTCGTTGACACATTTGTCGACTTAAAACATATTTTGGTTTTTAGAACAAATGATTTTTCACTCTCAGTGTCATACACATAAAACTTTGGTTCTTGTAACAAAGAATACGAAAGAAAAAGTCAGAAAACACGATAGGAAGATATCTATCGTCGTCAATAGATTTTGGCAGTTTGTTACAGAATCACGAGAAATTTATTTGTTTATGATGGGGAATTTGCATGTGAATTATTTCAGGACATCAACTTTCGCATCTTACAGATCCATATTCTTCAAATGTTGTCTTGAACTTTTTCAATTATATATTAATTTTTTTTTTGCTGGGTGTTGATTGTATTTTCTCAAAACTCCACATTTTTATCGAAAACCAATTTTGAAACGAATACGCCTAAATACGAACGATTCGAGTGAAAGTAATTATTTTACAAAAACAGGCTGTTAATCCCATTATTATTAATTTGTTAAAACCCTGGTTTATTTGTGAAGAAAAATTGCAATGTTTTAAATAGGGGTAAAACCGAAAGACTGTGCTTTCACTTCCCTTTTATTGTGGGGGTATTTTTCTCCCCAGGAGTTATTTGAAAAAAACTTCCTTCACTAAAAGACTTTTTTTATAGAAGAGTACCCCAAAATGCCAACTCAACGAAAATAATTTTGGATTTCTTCTAAATATTACAACTGCACTTACAAACATTCCCAATTTTTCTCCGCTGTTCGTTGTCTTTTTCTTTTGTTTTAAGAACAAAAAGCTAACACTGACATCTCCTTATCTACCGTCGTTATTTTGTTGTTTCGAAATAGTCATCCTTTATCCCATTGTTGTCGTTTTACAAAAACAAATGACAAATCTTGATAAGCTACCTTAGTTTTTTATTCCTTTTGAACGAAACATTAGAATTTCCTTACAAACACAGTAGAAAAAAACATAGTTAATCGCGATAAAAGAATAAATAATTTTGGCACTTTTTTAATACATAAAATGTCTTCTATCAAATAACTTCTACTAAAATTAGCCGAGTAAATAATGTCTTATATTTCAAAGGTTATTTCGATACTATTTAGCAGCGTTACCTAATATTCGACATCCTCGAGTAAATCACATGTATTCATATGAAAGTTACCAAATACGTCGGACGTACAAAGCATTGGCAAATGAATAATTTGTTTTGTGTGTTTAAAATAGAAAATAATAATAGAAAAATGTGAATGTTTGCAATTGGAAAAAATAATTTTAAAAATTATTGATTTTAAAAACGTTATTAGTTGGTAGATGTTAAGATAGGTAATACGAACATATAAAACATTTTGCCATAGTGGGAATATTTGTGTACGCTACGAATTTATGTCATACTGTATAGTATTTTCTACAAACAAATGGTAAAACCCGTTCTAGTATGAAATAGTAGAAAACATTGTATTTGACGTTACTTACATATATATCCTTAGGTTATATTACAAGAGATCTATCTCAGTACTCTATTATTTTAATCATTGTATATATTGAAATTTTAACAACTTTAAATTAAAAACATTACTAATTAATTTACCAATTTCTTATCACCGTAGAATTTTTATTACTATTATTTTTTACTTTTTTACCTACAATTTATTTCGGCCCGTAATATACAGTCTGTCAAGTAGGTCTTTTGACATTGGAAACGATTTTAAATCCAGAAACAAATGAACTAATAATCGAATTGTTTATTTGATTTAAAACAAACAAAACATTTATGCAAGAAAATGGTCTAAATAGCTAATTATTTACAACACAAATAAAAATAAAATAAAAAATTGGCAAGATAAAAGCTTAACTTAAATTGTAATTTACAAATATTTTTTTTACATTTAATTTTTCTTTCTTTCTTCAAAGGTTGAAATATTGATTTTGAATTGTCCACCCTTAGATTCTATAACTGTTCGTAGTCTTCTTTTCATGGAAAAAAAAAATTAAATGAGCCACATCATATTCCAATGGTATTTTTTGCCATTCGTCCAATACTGCATTTTTGAGATCTGTCCGATTTTTTTGGGTGGCGTTTGGTAACTTTTTTCTTCAAATATGCCCAAATATTTGGAATGGGGTTCAAGTCTGGACACTGGGCAGGAGCATCCAAAACTTTTTTGCAAATCATGTACTATATATCTCTAAACGATTATTTCGCTACAAAAACTCTAGATTTTGTCGATGCATAAGTTGAAATAAACATTTTGAAAACACCCGAATTTGAATATTTTCTGAACAAATAAAGATGACATATTAAGCCAAGAAAATAAAAAAATTAAAATCATATGGTATCATAGCTCTACCTTGACATCATTGTACCATGATATGTATAAAGTGGGAAATGCATGAAAAAAATATTTTTTTTATTTAATTTTAGAAAAAAATCATTAATTTAATTTTAGGAAAATACAAATATCTTGCTATTGTCAAAACACTTTCTTGACATACTGTATATCTGTTCACCATGGTAGAAGAGTATAGGTAGTCGCATCGACGCAGCTGCTGGGACAATAAACTTTCAAACCAATTTTGAAATTGAAAATTTTGAATGAAAAATTATTCAAAATTTTAAAAATTGTTTAAAAGTATATGTCATAACAACTTTCGATTGGCGTCGTATTAGAAAACATATAAAAATCTACTTATTTTTTTAAAAAACATTTTTAAAATGTTGGCATATCAATGTTCCCAAGTGTTGACACATGTACCTGTATTCTTCTACCATGTCTCTTCACCATACGCTCCTTTGTTCTTTTAAGAAGAAACCAGCCGATGACTATATAAGAAAGATTGCTCAACTTCAAATAAACTAAAAAAATTCAACTCTGTAATTCTGCCGTCGTTTCCCTTCATAATTTGACATTAATATTCTTAGCCATGATGCCTAAACTTTATAGTATCAAATAGACTTTTAAATATGCAGCAGTTGGTTTTGTTTATTATACCCTCCACCATAGTATGGAGGGTATATTATGTTTGTCATTCAGTTTGTAACACCTCGAAATATACACTTTAGACCCCACAAAGTATATATATTCTTGATTCGGAATATTAATTTAATTTGTTTCAAATTTGGTATTTGAAGTTCGTAATAGATACTACAGCCTAAGACAGAAAATTATTTGTGCAGGTCCACGTCTTCGTATAGCCCCCATATACCAGCACCCCCCGATATTCGGTATTTTGACGATTTTAGGTACAATACTCACCGGAATTTTTTTGAGATGTCGTATTTGAAGTTCGTAATGGATGCTGCAGCCTGTGACAGAAAATTGTCTATGCAGATCCAGGTCTTCGTACAGCTCCGACACAACGGTACCACCCTATATACGCAATTTTGATGATTTTAGATGCATTAATCACCGTTTATTTCAAGTTTCGAATTTGAATATATGACAAACATTGCCTATGTAAATCCACGTCGTATAGACCCCAATATAACGGCTATATTCTGTATTTTTAAGATTTTAACAGAACTTTTAACGGATTGTATGTTTTGAAAATTTCCAAATTCGTTCAAAATGGTGGAAGGTATTCAAAGTTCGACCCGGACGAACTTACTGCTTTTTAACTTGTTTTTAATTTTGTTTACAAAATTCTTATATTGGGGAAAATCTGCGAAACAAGAATGGAGTTTTGGGGTTATTCCACAAGATTGAATCTAAAATAGTAGGACAATACAATTGTAAATTGTACAATGTGTTGCCCATTAACGTCGAAAATGTGCATTTATTTTGCAACCGAACCGAACATATTTCAAGTTCAAATTATTGTATTTTTTATCCAAAACAATTCACACACATACACAAAATGTGTATATGTTGTGACAGAATAGGGGCACCAAAAGAAAAACATTGTATTTAGGAGGTAGCTTTGTTCTACCTTCTGAATTTGTGCCATGCTTTATATCCTATTGTAACCTTAGTCATCACCGAGTTTTTAGAATAAGTGCAAAGGAGTTTATGTAGAACTAATTAAATTTTGGTCCATGATATGAACTAGAAAGCCATCCGATGAATTATCCAGAAAAATCCTGTCAAGTTTAATTAACACCTCATTTACGCGTTCTACAAAGTTTCATATTTTATTAGACCCATAATCAAGGAATTGAAAATATAAATTAAATGTGTTCTATGAAAACATGTTCCTCGTAAATAAGGCTGCATGTATTTAAATCAAGATGAGAATACATAAGAAAATTTTAAGTCATTGGGTGTTTTCTCTTCGTAAAATAAAAATAATGCTCAGATTGACCAAGTTCAATTTTATAGCTTACACGACCTGTTTATTGGGCCTTTCTAAAGTATTTCGAGAACTGTCGTACAACTACAATGTCAAACGTAATAATGGCGAATGTGTTTGATCATCATTATATGAAAGTAGAATATAGGAAAACGGACATCACGCAAAATATATAATTCACGCAATTAAAACTTGACGCACCCATTTATTTTTAGAATTGAAAAATATTGTTATGGGAACACAGCGGTGATAAGAAATAATTATAAATTTTATATGTTGTGTACAATTTACCTGAGCATGCGCATACATTGCATTTCATTTATTCATTTTATAAATTAACTAACATTGAAATATTATTATAGTTTTTTACACTTTACTTATATAATAAATATTAACAAAAAATTATTTTTTCATCATGCTTGAAATCATAAAAGGAATTCTCATCGCGAATGTATTAATCCCTCTGAAGATAAACTTTGCAAAGAGTTTAAGTCTTTAATGGGACGCATTCAAACTAATGGACCCAATAGCAGTTTGGCAAAAGGAGCTGATGAGGGACTACTTTTGTGAGTATACTTTAAACGTTTTAATATGTTAAATTACGCTTTTATCTAGGATTAATTCATCTGACTTATTCAATAATTCGACTTATGATCAAAGGGCAATCTAACATGTTTGGTAAAATTAAGGTTTTAAAGTAATCCTGAAATAAATGTGCACCATTAAAAAAATAAATTTTATCTAATGCAAGTCACATCATTACAACTGGTTGAAAAACTTGAAGAGGTTGTATTCAAGATTGTATTGTTTGCCGACTGGTTGTAGGAAGTTGGGTGTAGATTGTACAAAAAAACAAATTTTTGAATTTTTGTAACGTTTGAATTGTAACGTTTTTGAACATGTCGCATATACTGTTCGTTTTGTGTTTATTTTTGTAGAGACAACACTATTGATAGAGCCTCTAAACATCACGAGAACAGATCAAATGCGTGATTTTAATAAATATGATCTGTATACTATATAAAAGACAATTGTGTTAGTTACTACGCTTATAAATCAAGAACCGCTAATTTTACGAATCAGACAAATTCGGATGAACAAAAAAAAACAATATATTAACCAGCGAAAGAAAATAAACTATTGGAAACGTTTGCAATCGTTTCGTTCTGTATTTTCTGGAAGTAAGAAACGAAACAAAACCGATATTAAGATAACGGGACTTGCTTCTTATTTTGTACTGTTTGTGTAGATGAGTGGAAACAAATACAAAACTGAAATGTACTCTGTTGGTTGACGCAACATTGAAAACGAAACAGTACAATACTCATTACAAACGTTTGCAAACGTTTCCATGTATATTAACTCAACGCATATAATGTGCAAACTAATTAAAAGTTAAAATTATTCATTTCTTGACCATCATACAATGTAACAAGTAAAAAAGCTGTAAGTTCGGCCGGGCCGAACTTTTAATACCCTCCACCATTTGGTACAAATTTGGCAATTTCCAAAGAAAAAAAACCGTTAAAAATTCTGTTAAAATCTTAAAAATACCGAATGCTTATACGACGACGTGGGCCTGCATAGACAACATTTGTCCTAAATTATTACAATATTTAAATGCGAAACTTGAAGAAAAATCTGTTTATAATGTAGCTAAAATCGTCAAAATACCGAATATGGGGGGTACCGTTATATGGAGGCTATAATAAGACGTGGACCTGCACAGACAATTTTCTGGCATGGGCTGAAGTATCCATTACGAACTTCAAATACCTAATTTGAAATAATTCCGGTGAACAATGTCGCTAAAATCATCAAAATACCGAATATCGGGAGGTACCGTTATATGGGGGCTATATGATAACTTGGACCTACATGGCCCATTTACGAACTTAATATATAATATTATTATTTTTTTAATTTTTAATCATTTTTCATATTTTTTTCTTAATGGACATCCCAGTAGTCACTGCCTCATGTGGCCTTGATACCCTGACGCTTTCTTCTCCCTTATTTGAACTTCTGCATCTCTTCCACTAAGACTACACATCTATTGAATTCCTTCAACTTTTTTGATGCTTCCAATCTGAAATGGGATTGGAATAATTTATGTGAAAGATTCCCGGATTTATTATTCATGCATACCTTAAGGGTTCGGTCCAGAAATGGGTCCTAAATTCGCGTGATTTTGTTTTCTGCCAAAGAAAATAATTTCTTGCTGACAATTTTCACAAAAAATCAAAACTAATTTGTCAACAAGGGACAGATTTGAGAAATGTTTGTGGAACATAAGTGTTTCTCAAGCATTGTTGAAAAATTATATTTTTATAATATTGTTCTCAAGCTGCATTGTATTTTTGGTATGTTGGGAAGTTATTACAACATTTAAATGCGAAATATGAAGAAAAATTTGTTTATAATGTAGCTAAAATCATCAAAATACCGAATATAGGGGGTACCGTTATATGGGGGCTATACCAAGACGTGGACCTGCACAGACAATTTTCTGGCATGGGCTGAAGTATCCATTACGAACTTCAAATGCGAAATTTAAAACAATCCCGGTAAATAATGTCGCTAAAATCATCAAAATACCGAATATCGGGGGGTACGGTATATGGGGCCTATACGAAGACGTGGACCTACATGGTCCATTTTCTGTTTTCTGCTGCAGTATCTATTACGAACTTCAAATGCCAAATTTGGAACGGTTCCGTTAAATAATGTCGCTAAAATCATCAAAATACCGAATATCGGGGGGTACGGTATATGGGGGCTATACGAAGACGTGTACCTACATGGCCCATTTTCTGTTTTCTGCTGCAGTATCTATTACGAACTTCAAATACCAAATTTGGAACGGTTCCGTTAAATAATGTCGCTAAAATCATTAAAATACCGAATTACGGGGGTACCGTTATATGGGGGCTATACGAAGACGTGGACCAGCACAGATAATTTTCTGTCTTAGGCTGTAGTATCCATTACGAACTTCAAATGCCAAATTTGAAACAATTCCGGTGAATAATGTCGCTAAAATCATCAAAATACCGAATATCGAGAGGTACCGTTATATGGGGGCTATATGAAAACTTGGACCTACATAACCCATTTACGAACTTAACCTGCCTACTGGCAAAATATACATGTGTGCAAAATTTTAGCCTTCTATCTCAATTTGTTCGAAAGATAGCGTGATTACAACAGACAGACAGACAGACGGACAGACAGACAGACAGACAGACAGACAGACACACAGACACACAGACAGACAGACGGACATGGCTAAATCGTCTTAGAATTTTACGCTGATCAAGAATATATATACTTTGTTGGGTCTGACGTGAGTATTTCGAGGAGTTACAAACGGAATGACAAAATTAATATACCCTCCATAGTATGGTGGAGGGTATAAAAAAGTGCAAAAAACAATATTAAGAATAACAAATCCTAATGTACCAGTCATCATTTCGCACAGCAAACGTTCCCGGCGATTGGTTCGCAAACGATACAACTCGGCGACTCACAGCCGAAGTACATTAAGGCAATCGTATTGTTTGTGTACTTCTGGCATTGAAATATTTGTGGTTTTGTTTGGAGTACAAAACGATTGAAAAAAATTTAAAAGTTTGTGTCTTCGTGAGAGGGGTACGTTAATCGTTTCGTTTGTTTTCGTTCGCTGATTTTACCATGTACGAACCGTTTTTTCAATTTGATTAACTTTATTTAATTGTCTCGATTTCATGAGAACATGTGTTGGCAAATCTATTAAAGGATGATAACTTTTTTAAAATCCCTAAAAAGTTACGAGACAAGATACTCATTGCAAAACTTCTAAAATCGGGAAAAAAAATCGAGAAAAGTTTTTTAATCGAATAGTACATTCTATTGACAAACTTCGTAAGGACCTTTAAACATTTGCTGTAAATGTACCAGCAAACAAGTTGAAGATTTTTTTCTTTTTCAATTTGTGTTTCTTTTTTTATCAATTTTATATAATGCACGATTTGTTTTCAATTTAGGTTATCATATTGAATTTAATCGTTTTTTGTGAACAAAATGTTATTTACTACAATTCATAGAATTTCGAAATCGCGTGAAAATATGCCAATAAAAATAAGAATAAAATGAATGAAAAATCTTTTTGGCGTGAAATTTTTCCAATTCCATATACACCTAAGTCTGTTTTTACACGGTAGATTGGTTCCAGAAGAAGCCGTGTAAAAAAAAACCGTGTAAAAAAAGACATTGATCTTATACAAAAATGGGTGATTTGTTCCTAATCTCTAAAACCTATTAAAATTAGTGAAAAACAAGAATTTTTAATTTTTTTCTTTACCAAACACGTCTTATTGCATTGACAGTTCACAAAATATTAACACGTTTCAATTGCTCTGACCATTAAATTTTATTGTATGCACATAAAGGGAATTCCCCTATATTAGTGCTATTCACATTTGCTTTGACCAGTAACAATTGTTTGTACGCGCTAAAGGGGAATTCACTTAAATCTTTAAGCTAGTGTTCGCAAACTATCGATGGTTTCAGACTTTTCTTTCATAAATACTTTTTTCTGATATGAACATTCTTCGCAAAAATTAAATTTGACAAAAAAAAATTTAAGTACATAAAATTTTAAATCGTGCTAAATGGAATAAAATCGTGTAAAAAACATTAAAAATATTCAATTTTCAAACCGTGTTATATCAAAACCGTGTAAAAAAAGACCGTGTAAAAACAGACTTAGGTGTACTATATTGAAGTGTTAATTTTTTATTGTATTGAATTCTAAATGAATAATATCAAAAATGAGCAATACGATATTAAATAGCGATTTTTCATGTCTAAAATTGGCATCTAGTTTTCAACTAGCGAACACATTTAAACAAACACAAATGACCGACAAAACGTTATGGGCTCATTTCAAAATATGGACCTACTTCTTTCACATGATAATAATCCGTTCAATGAGAACTCAAAATGCAAAAATCATTATGACTGCAATCAGTGAAATACCGAATATAAAGGGTTCAAAATTGTAGAGCGAATTGGACATTAAGAAAAGGATTTGTTCTTTAACTTTCAAAATACCTTAAATCGCTTTTGCAAGTCAAGATATGGGTCATAAATCCGGGATAAAAATACAACCCAATTTTAACAATATTTTTCATACTAATTTCGCCAAAAGTTGGTATTTTGAGAAGAAACCATCCTTGCAAAAACTGATCCCCTTTTGGTACAACCATCATATGATTTAAGCTATTTTCGGGGTCTTCGCCCCTTTTTTCATTTTCGACCCTTATTTGGCAGCTTTGTTTCTAAGGGGTGTACAAAAACCCTTCTCGTACAATGTTCGCAGTAGGATCCATCTTGGTGTTAGCCACATTAATCAATTGATTTGGCTAAAAAATTGTATTTAGACTATTCTGGGATAGAACTCTTACAGTTATTTGTCCACATCCGCATTTATTTAAGTATAGTCCCCACATTATGTCTACCCCTAATTCCCCTTTCCGAACCAATGTGTGGTCAGAAAAGAAAATTTGTATTCTATTGAATTTGT